AATAATAATAATAATAATAATAATAATAATAATAATAATAATAATAATAATAATAATAATAATTACTCCGTGTGGTGCCAGGGAGTTCGGCAGAATAGCACAACGGGACCTCCCCCTGACGTAGAAGGCCACTAATCGGAACAGTTGTCCGTTGTCACTCCCCCCAAACATCCCGTCATTCCCACAGACTTGGTGTGTCATTGCTTCCACTAACTTGTGACACACTTGTTTTCTGTCCTGTAGGCCAATCTTGTATCGGCCAACTCTTGTGTTTCCGCCCCGACGCTATTAGGTTGCGACGGCTAGGGAGTCGTTCTACCCTTCTATTCCAACTCTAATCTTCTCTGTCCCCCCTTGTTCCTTGCGTTTCCTTAAGCTGGCGGTAGCTCAAAATCGCTAGGGGAAGGTGACCCTAAAAATCCCTTCCGTCTTGGATCTGTCAGGATCAACAGTTACGGTGCAGTGATCGGAGCCCCAGTACCGGCGGTCGGTGGTGCGCAAGCAGGCCACCGGGCGTCGTCACCCAGCGACTGCAATGCCAGGGGTGCGGATCACTCGGCACCACTGGCAGATAGTGCTACGAGTGATAGCAAGCTTCGCGGGACTCGTATGGAAGTCTGCGAACCTAGGGTTGAGGGATCCCTTAAAAACCCTCGTCCAGAAAAAAAGCCCGGAGTTCAATGCTAAAAGAATGAAAATTGGAAAATCAATGAACTATGATGACTTGTTCAAGAACACCGCAGCGGTACTAAAGTACCTTACAGTAAAAAGAACTGAAGGAAATTTGGATCAGCCGTAAAAGACATACAGAAAACTCCATCTGGACTCTTGATAGAAACATTCAATGACAATCAGTGTTGTCTAGGAAAAGTATTGGAAAAAATGGTCAACACTCGGCTAACATGGTGTCTCGAAAGAAACAACCTCCTAAACATACACCAGTGCGGATACAGGCAACATCACTCTACAATCGACCAGCTAATATATCTGGAAAACGCAATTCAGAATACCTTCATCAAAAGAAAACACATGGTTACCGTATTCTTTGACCTGGAAAAAGCTTTTGATAAGACCTGGAGCGATAATATTCTGAGACAGCTATATAACTGGCAAATAAAGAGGAAATCTACCAAAATTCATATCCAGCTTCCTTAGTACCAGATCTTTCAAAGTTCGCGTTGGGCAGTCTATCTCAGAAAGTTACGTACTAGAGAACGGTGTACCGCAAGGCTCTTCATTGAGTGGTACGCTCTTTATCATAGCGATCAACGAGATGTTTGACGGCATAAAGCGTCAATTGAAAAATGCATGTATGTAGATGACATTGCTATATTTTACTCAGCCAAATCACCAGGTGATCAAATTCAAAATGCAAAATGCCATCAATAAATTAGTTCAGAATGCGAAAAACATTGATTTCTCATTTACAGCTGCGAAAACCGAATTCGTTCACTTCTGTAGGAAACGAAAAAGTTAGAGATCCAGAGCTGGCGCTGAATGATGTTCAACTGACATACAATGAAACGGCAAATTTTCCTTGATTTTATTTTTGATAGGCATTTAACATGGAAACAGCATCTACAATATACCTTGCGTAGATGCAAAACAGCTCTGAACGTAATAAGATGCACTTCCCATATAAATTGAGAAGCAAATAGATACATCTTACACTGCCTGTACAAATCCATGGTGATGTCCAAAAATAGATTGTGGATGCAGTGTACTCATCAGCCAGAAAATGAAGTTTAAGGAAACTAGATCCCGTTCACAACGCAGGCCTCCGATATGCATCTGGCGCGTTCCGCACTAATTCTTGCTCAAGCCTCTACTGTGAAACCAGCACCATGTTGCTACATCATGGAAGACAAAAAATGCTACTCAACAATAGATCAAAATTTCTGTCACTACCGATACATTTTAACCACTCATTGATCACTCGACCTAAGCTAACAAATCCTTACGATCAAAGACCTTCAGCAACTCGTCCAGCCAACATCTGCGCAATCGAGGTAGCCAAATGCTATAACATCGTTCTACCACTAGTTTTGAAACACGAACCATATGAAATTCCAGTTTGGATGTTGAAAATACCAGAAGTAAGACACAACACTACCAGTGTAAAGAAAAAAATGCCTTCCCATGGATTTTAAAGACAGATTTCGATCAGTTCTCGATGAATACATGATAAATCACACAATAATGTACACAGATGGCTCAAAAACAAAACAGCGGGTTGGAAGGGCATTTGTAACTGAAAACTTATCGAAAACTTGGACACTTTCACCACAAGCGAGTACACTGCCGAATTGTATGCAGTACTGCAATCTTTGCGACACTGTGAAACTCTCGATTCAGGAAGGTTCGTCATCTGCACAGACTCTCTAAGTCTTCTCACTGCAATAGACAGGCGCCAAACTGTAGATCCGCTGCTACAAATGATTCTCATAGCATGCCATAAATTAGAGCAGCGAGGAGCATCAGTTACGTGTATCTGGTGCCCTGGACACGTGGGTATCCTAGGCAATGAAGAAGCCGATTTTGCAGCACGAAACGCCGGAAACATCCAATCAGAAATGGATATTGAAATACGACCTCAAGATGCAAGAAATGCTGTCTCGAAGAGCATCCTCAGAGAATGGCAGACCACGTGGAACAGTCTTCACACGAAACTACACCCCATTAAACAGAATATCAGTAAATGGTCACCAAATGTCAGCTACCCTCGACGAGAGCAAGTGTGCATAACCAGACTAAAGATAAACTCGTAGGCTTCCGCGGCCAGAGTCATGTGCGTGATCTAGGCTGTCCAGGTGACGCGGCGTCGAAGGCTGTGTTGCCGACGTTTCGACTATCTTGTCGTGGTCTTCCTCAGGGCTGGTATGCGAGTGTGTACATGGGTATACCATTATACCATACGTTGGCATACCAGCCCTGAGAAAGACCACGAAAAGATGGTCGAAATGTCGGCAACAGCCTTCGACGCGGCGTCACCGGGACAGCCCAGATCACGCACAGACTAAGGATAGGTCATGCAATAATGTCTTCATACATGCTAAGAAATGAAGAACAACCCACCTGCAGCTGCAGAAGACTTCTGACAGTGAAACATATTCTGACAGACTGTGTAAATCTCTCAAGACAAATGCGGCATGAGAGGCAACATAAATATAGATCTCGGCACCGACAAGACGGCAACTGACAAAACAATAAAGTTCCTGAAAGAGGCCAAACTTTTCTACAAAATTTAAATGTAATATATGATTAATTTTAACGTCAATTAGTAAAAAGGCTAAAGGCCTTGGATGCCAAACCTTCAAACTAACAAAAAAGAAATAATAATAATAATAATAATAATAATAATAATAATAATAATAATAATAATAATAATAATATTGTTGAATCTTATTATTAAGCAAATAAGAGAGCCTTATACCAGTAAAACAGAAATCAGTAGTAAATTAATAATTAATAAAAAATAATAAAATATAATTTCATTAAAATGATAAAAAACTAACCGTTGAGTAAATGCTCAAAGTGACCAACATTTGTCAAGAGACAGGAGTTTACATTTTCCAGTGTAGTGGCTACAGTATGTTGAAGACTTACAAGGACAGAATAAGTGATTTCTCTTTCTCCCAACTAAAATTATCCACATTCTCTCACTCCAAAATCTGAGGGCATGCGGCCATTGGTTGTTAAAAGTGAAAGAGGTAAGGCAATTCATGTGTTGCCGAATTGTCAAAACAAGAGAGGGTTTCCAGACATTCGTTGTAAGTTAAGGTAAAGACTCTGTATATATAATGCAATATAGAATTGATAATGCGCATCACAGTTTGTGACCTTGACACAAATTCGTAAAAGTTAAAACACACATTTTAATTTAGATTAGAATAATCGAAGTAAGCCCTTCAGCCTTATTACAAATGCTCTACCACAAAATATACCACTCTAAAAACTCTGAGGACAGTCTATACTGCTACTTGAAATTCTAAATTCTATTAGAAAAATGATTTTAAGAGGCATTTTAAAAGAATCTTGCAAAAAGTCAGAGATACAGCTAGCTCATTCTGGTAATTATAAAATATTTTAAATGAAAAGTACAAAAATACTGTACTATTTTCAAATAGAAATATGCTTACACAACATTAAAAATATGTGTAAATATTAATTCATCTCACCAATACAAACAACCTCTACTTTCATAGGAATGTTCATACCTAATCATATTTCTAACACTTTAAAAGATTAAATAAAGGTAATCACAATGAAGTTAAGTGAATTGAATAGCCATTGCAAGTTCACAGTCATGTGTTGCAACATGGACTCTGAATAAGGATAAAAAATATTTATTTCATAGTGGGTGGCACTAAACAAAACATTGGAGAAGACAATGAGAAGAACTGATGTGACCATTAGCATGTTGATAAGATTGAGTGAGTCTTTGGTATCTGTCTGTTAGAATGTTTAGCAGATAAAATGTATCAGAAGACAGTGAGAAAAGACATGAATTTTCAAATGTACTTTACCAAAATATTACAACTTAAACCTGTTGACTCTATTCTCTACTTCAATTGTATTGAACAGCCCCAAGACAAATGAAAGATAACCAATTTTAAACACTAGGTAGAAAGATTCTTTTTTTTTTTTTATTCATCTTTTGGATTTTCAACTGGTTCATACAGATTATCATTAAAACTAATACCTTTATCTAATATACAATCAGTGACCTCAGTGATCATTTCACTGAAGACATGCTCTTTGGTATTACATAAAACATCTTCCTTCTTAAGTATGGTATTTTGTCTGTTGATTGAAGTATTATCACAAGTTGACTTAGAATCAGACTTGTTTAAAAGCACTCCAATATCATCATAAATGTCATCATCGTACTCAAATGTTCTTTCTAACGTCTTATCACTTTCAAATGTGGTTTCTGTCCGTTGACCACTTACATTATAATATAATTTGGGATTTAATGGACAAATATCATCATACACTAATTCACTGTCTGTCATGTACTTTGAGTCACTATGTTGGTCTACAGATTGCACTGCACGTTCTTTTCCAATGATGTTAAGGTCATTAATGTTGTAATAAATTTCATCCCCATATTCTTCATTTTTCTCACTTACACAATCACTATGTCCACGCACATCATCATATTCTTCATCTTCAATCACAGTTGGTGAGGGAGTTGGAGGTAGACATTTGGGCTTTGGCAGGAGCTTCTTGGGCAAATTCTCACTGTCATGGTTTTCAATTATATGAGAACTTGCTTCATTAATACAATTTATCCATTGTTCCATTTCATTGAGACTGCTTGCCAAGAACTGAAATTCAAAATTAGAAATAATACATGGCTTACATGTTTGCCTCCAATTGTGGCTAAATCAATTCTTAAAGTGATTTACCTGGTATGATTTCTTTCCCGGACAAACAACTTCAAAACCAAAGTCTCTTTTCTTAGCGTCTTTTGGGAAAAATGTGACAGCTGGTCGAGCCTCAAAACCTTGCACATTGATATATGTTGCAGGTTTAGCATCTTTATCACTATTGTATACATATAAATTCTGATTGAGTAGTCCTACATAGCAACGAATTGACCGCTCCACAAACAGTCCCATAAACCTTTCCTTTCTTGACAAGGCACCAAATTTTTTCCCTACCATGCGTAGTTTCGATGCAGGTAAAATTAAATGTTCAATATTAATACTATGTCGACAGTCTTGTTGTCCAGAATGGTTAAGAAGGTGGACGTCTGGAAACTCCTCATAAAGCTTACTGTCAGTATTTTTGGCTTGATTGGTATTCAGAGAAACATATTCTCCAGATTGTGAACCTGAAAGCAAAATTTAAGGACACATTTTTAAGAGATTACTCATAGGTAATGATATACTACACCAACTCAAAATTCATTCAATTTATTACAAATTGTGTTTTGATATCATTGTTACAAATGCAAACATGATAAGCATGAAAAAACATTATTTTCAATTTTGATACATAGCAGCTGCCTTGGAAAAGAAACCTATGGTGGGAAAGTGACAAATCTTATATCCCTTATGTCCACAAATATAGCTGTTTCAAATGTATCAAATCGAATTGTTTTTCTATATTGTGTATGAGACTTTAAATGGTTTAAGACTAAACACTTTGCCACCACAGGCTTACTTTCTAAAGTATTTCATAGGTATCGAAATTAAAAATGTTTTTTACATTCTGAAGTTAGCATTTCTATTGATAATATTATTAAGTAGATTTAAACAACCAGGATGCTGAAAATACATCTTAACTGACTTAGACATATTACTTTATCCACACTACAATAATTCTCATTATGGCACGCTTTATGTATTCATTCAGTAATTCAGAGTTATGCACACCGTTTGTTTATGAAATAAATTTTCCTACATAAACATTATTTTGATGAGTACAGAAATACATGCTACACAAGTAGTGTAGTGCGAATCATATGGGGCAATAATGACAGTACTAGCCCACTCCACTTTACATTCAAAAAATCATATTATAAAATTGTCCATAAACAATTGTATTAAAATCCAAATAAGTTTAACTATTATACTTATAAGCGATAAAAAACAATTTTGTATCAAGTAATTATTGAAATTAAAAAAAATATATGCATGTTTGTTAATTGCATGTAATGTTTTGTATTATTGTTTGTTTATATATTTTTATTTCTGTATGACTTCAAAAACGAATATGGGTATGTGAGAAGGGTACATGAACCACTTACAATTCAAAATGTTGCTACAAAATGTTTTTTTAGTCGTTAAAATGCAAGCCATGGGGCATTTATGTATTAAGGATAGTGTTGCAGTGGTTGTGGACAGTGGCTGGTCAAGAGGCGATCGGACGAGGTGGGCGGGGACGGGGGAAGAGGGCAGAGGACGGGGCTGAGGACGCGGCGGAGCAGCAGGTGACGTTCGGGGGGTGGGGAGAACGGGTCGGGACACGGCGAACGGAGCGATGCGCGATGGAAGGGAGCGTATGTAGTATAAATACAATTTTGTGATTCGTGAATGCCCAGGCACCGTCGTTAATTCCACGTGCGCGTTGCGAACACGCGCACATACACACGCACACACATTATTACAGTACCCTGCACCGTGACAGTGAGCGTAAATGCGAACGAGACTTATACAATTTCGGAGCTGATGCTCAATATGCATGCAGCGAATGCGTCCCCTGTCTTACAGAATTGAGCTGCCGGCAGCGCATGAACGACGCCCAAGTATTAAATATTAGATCCGAGTGAATCGACAATACGTTTAGACATAACAGTATGCTCCGCAGGGATATTATTACAGGATGTCTAGGTGGACATAGATGACCGCAAGATAGATCGCATGATCGCAAGAGTTTTCGAACAGAGCGACGAGGCGGCGAGGTCTGTGACAACAATGGCAACCCGCCGGGCAGCTAAGAGTGAAGGCGACTGCGAACATCCAGATGTGACGATCGAGAAACCCGCTGTGCTCGCAAGAAACATGAGCAGTTCAGTGTTTTGGATGGGATCTCGCTTGGTCTGCTAGCTATATTTGGAATGAATATATATGTATATGACATTTGAATTGTATTAAAACAGAAAAAAATAATTGTTCAATAATTTAGAACCTAATCTATTCTACCAAGACATGATCAGCAGAAAACGGCGGGAGATGGCGGAGTGTCAAAGGAGGAAACGTGGAAACATTAAAACTTTACTTTTCAAGTGGTTCTGAATGAAAAAAAAAGCTTCTATAAACATATAGTCAATTCTTACTCCATTAACTACATTCGCATAATTAATTTGAAGTACTATACAGGAAAGTTGATAGGTCACTTTAAAACGGGCCAGAAGGATCATCGGACATTAGTCCACTTGATTTTTATTTCTTTGGGTAATTTAAAGTGTCTAGTGTACGCACGATACGTTGATAATAGATCTACACTTTAAACGCTTCAGATGCTTTTAAGGAAATCAGGAATGATTTGGACGAATTGCAATCAATAGTTACTTCCTTACTAAAACGGAGTTTAATTGTGTATTAAAACGGAGGGAATTTTCAAGTTTTTCTGAGTACACGTCAGCGACAATTTCATGTCGTGTCACAAAATATGTGAGCGCAATACTACAACTGATTCGGAAAGACATAATTTACACAATTCAATTGCCATTGCATTTTTAAGTTAATTTTCCTTTTTTAATCAATGTACGCATTTCCTTTTCTACCAATAAACAATTTAAGTGCTTCTGGGGCATTTGTTTCTGAATGTTACTTTTTACATAGAATGTAATTTTTCAATCCTGTTGAGTACTTATTGAAGCTCAACCATTCTGGATCCAATAGGAGTTTAATGGACAAAATATGCTTAAAATTGACTTAAGAGCTTATTTTTGTAGTTTCCTCCTCATACACACATACAGGCTGGTTCACTTAAGATGTTCCCTTCGATTATCTCCTGAGCCGTTTGAGATATTGTTAAGCGGTTTTCACTAAATCGAAAGAATGCGAGGAACACAAAAGATGTATAATATTTAACTATTAATTTTTTAATTTTAGAGATATCGACTCAGATTTGATTGTATAAATAGAACCCTATAGATTTCCTTATCTCATAATACCGCACGTGAAGAGACGAGTTCATATACATAGTACGCATATTTAAAAATCAAGTTGTGTCGATATTTCTTAAATTAAAAATATGTTGTTTAACATAGTATTATTGTCTTATAATTTCGCTCGAATAAGTTCGTTTCCATGACAACAGCATCTTAATATCGATAACGATTCAGGAGATATTCGATGGGACCATCTTGTGTGTGTATACATACATACATATATAATGTGTCTTTCAAAGTGTGTGTGTGTGTGTGTTTATATATATATATATATATATATATATATATATATATATATATATATATATATATATATATATATATTTGAAAGAACAGTTCAAAATGTTTTTTTGGAGACTCTTTCCTTATCGAAATAGAATTTCCATACTGACTACCACTCTTCTTCCCTCAAATTCGCTCCAACTACCAAATTAGGCGCGGCGAAACCTATCGTACTGTACTGCTAGATGTCGTTCAAATAGCTCCAAATAATGATTCGATTCCATAAAGATTTTTAATTTCATTACTTATGGGGCCTCCGCAGGGTGTGATCATGGTTGCGTAGGTGGACACGATTTCTGGTGGAGAGTTGTAGACAACTATCCGGACCCTAAGTTTCACGTGCAACCTCACATCATTAGCTCCAAGATGGAGGCAATGAGAAGCCACATGCTAAACCCCGTGTTGCCGGGTTTGCCCGGTAACCCATCAGTTGGGCCAATGGCTCCTACCCTTAGGCTGGATTGGGCCAAGGTTCGGAAGAACGTTGTGGAACCCATATACAGAAGTCCAGAAGGGGAAAAGCATCCCCTTCAGGGAGCCTAGGTCCTGGCGATACTCACGTCAATAGCTTAAAGGTGTAGGCAGTGAGGAGGGGGCCCTCGGTTTCGTCGTGGCAGTGGCCCGACAAAGGGTCTTGTTCCCGGGGCATGCGAGTAGCGGATTGTCTGGACGGCCGTGCTGGCCTAGATAGCCAATAGCTGTGAGCTGGAAGGGCGGCCCCACCCAGGCATCAAATGGGGAGGCTTCCGGGAGGGCAAACTGCGTTCAGGCGGGATCCGAATACGAGTCTCTCATTGTTCTTGTGGAGCAGCGAGGGTGCGGATAACGGCAATAAGCCACAGGTGTCCACCCCGAGGACTTGTGCCCCCCGGATGGACACGAGGTAAGTGTGTGGAGTGGTACCCCCACGCAGAGAAAACGAATACTTATGGAGACGTCCTCCCCAAAAAACTCTTTTTTGACAGCATACCCTTATACCACGAGTAATTATATGGGAAAAGTTTGTATTTTGCTACAGCTGCTCAAACGATACAATCGCGGAGACGCAGGAAATTACGATATAGATTTATAGTCAAAGGGTATCCGGTCCGGTGGCATATCCTGTGTGTAAGGTCTGGTGTATCTCATTCTGGTTGCAGTATTCTGAAAATGAGAGATTTACCATGTTTGTTCGTATTCCTAGATTGTAATGAATATTCATAAGAAATTATATAATATTCATTACATAGTTTACAGACAAATTGAATTTTTTATATTTTGAAATATGTATAATTAACTATACGAATTTACACCAGATCAAACCTCCAAAGCAAAAAGTGCTGAATGAATGTTTCATAAAGAAGTACAATTTGCTTTGAAGAAAACTTCATTACACAATGTTTCTTGCTTTTTAAGCAATTAGTTAAACACTTATACATTTATCATTTTTTGTAGTTTTGTTATATTATATGTAACAACAATTCGTAAACATGGATTTACTCTTACATTCAGGTCTTCAAAATTCTAAATTATATATGAAATTGATTATAATTTTGTTAACTACTGAATTTTTTTTTTTTTATTTCTTTATCTTAATGTATTCATGTTTATGTTCATGTTAATGTGAGACCTATTTCATATAGTATGATAGAAAGTCATACTCACCTTCAGTATTTTTATATTAATACACGGATAATTTTTTATATCAAAATATATTTTGGCAGGTGTATTTTTAAAAGATAATGTTTTACTGTATTATTTTAGAGAAAATGGTATCACCGACTAATGTAGGAGCTTTCAACTGCACGTTATATAGACATTTAGTAGAATGATCAGTGAATTGTTATGACGACGTATTTCTGTTATACCAAAGAGTATTCGAGCCTCACCTAATGTATTACATGGTAATTAAATTTTCAATTTAAAAATCAAAATTTATCCCTCTTAAGAAATAACTTCAGTCAAAATATCGAAATGTTATTTAAATAATGTGTAGTTGCTAATATCCCGACAAAACTGTCACTGGCATTTAACTAAATTGAAGAAGGGGGAGAAGGGAAGGTGGTTAAAGGGTAGCTTAAGGAAGCTATACTTTTAGCAGTAGGGACCGAAAAAAGGGGCCATGAATTATTACAATGAGCGACACTAATTTCTTGTAACACGAGTCATTTCTCGTGTTCTGAATGTGACCAATGTTGCGATTATCTTCAACGAATCTTACAGATCAGATTTCATTGAGGCTACATGTACAGTTAAACAAAATTTATGGACGCTTCTTACTTTTTGAAGATCCACTCATATCAATATAAGGGCCAGCTGGCTCTAAGAGGGATGACACTTTCTGAGCCAGCTCATCACGCTCCGTTTTCGCCTTTCCAGAGAGAGGTTCATTCTTCAAGGTTTCAGTCAAAAAGCGATTAACGTCTGCAAAGTACAAATATTTTGGCATGTAAGACATGTAAAACATGTTCCATTCAATAGCAAAAACATCAAATAAACATGGTAAAAATAAACTGGTGTTAAAACAGCACGTACTTTCTCCATCTTATCACGCAAATTTACGCGAAAAGTACTCAAAAAATGTTACATGACCTATTTCAAAATCTATCTTTAAAGAACAGGTTTCATTAGGTGAAAAATCTGTCTAACATTTTAGCTGTAGGAAAACGCTGAAAAATGGGAACTTTTGCAATTTTCGAAAAATCAGGGTTTTTAACGACATGAGACCTACACCATTCTCTTAAACGTCCTTCACACTATCAAATTTTATCAAAACGATGGAGCCATTTTTTGTAAATTTGGAAAATGTCCCAGGGGCTATATGTAAAGTACCCCCAAAAAATTAAAATATCGGTTTCAAATTCAAGGGTCGGCGACATCAGCCAAATCGATTGGGGAATACGAATTTTGGAGAAAAACAGTTGAACGGTTTAGCCGCTAGCGTTGTTTATAGGCAGACGAACAGACGGACGGACAGAGGGACGTTTTACCGTTATTCGATTTTTTGGTGACAAGGAGCCACAAAACATTGATTCTACATTACGTGTTTGAGGCTTCCCCCCCCCCCCTAAATTTAGCAACTAGATTTAACCACATTTTCGTTACCAGTGCCCTGTAATAAGAGTTTTTCAGCCGACAATTCGTCATTTTTTCGCGCAGCATTACATAACTATTTCTATTCTTTAGCGAGAAAGTAAAAACCAGAAAAATAAAATATACAGCACCTCAATTATATCATACGACCGTACTCTGTAGAGAGAAAGTAAAAAGTACAACTTGGTCGTTAAGAGAGCGCCTAGATGCGCTGAATCCTTTTAGTTTCACCAAGCAAACAGTGAATAGGAGGAAGGTTAACTTTTCATGCTCTTAAGAGAGCCACTGAAAGGTAGTCGATCGTTCTTCCGTGTAAGACGTGGTGCTATATCTCCATGGCACGGTGCGATTCCTATACAGTCACTCATAACGTTCGCCACCGTGAATGTAATGTGATATCCTTCAGATGTCTTACAAGCTCATAACTGGTTCTTGAGTTAGACCTCGAAGTATTGGCTACAGCCAGAAAAGAGGAGTAGCGTATTACAATGTAGAAACTTATGCATGGTTTGTGAGGTGCGATGATATTCTTGCCGTTAGGCCAAGATCGCGGGCGCACGTTTAGTTCGCGAGCACTGAGAAACGAAGTCGACACATGGTTTCAAGGGTTGTAAAAATATCGCAAGAGAGTAAGTCGTTTCATTCTTGGCCATTCTCTTCTTTCAGGAAACCAACTTCAGGTTATAGATCCTCTGAGAACCACCGTTTTAGGTTCATTACATGAGTGGTTCACTACATCCGTTATGACAAAATACAACTGATTCTTCATGACCCATTTTGTTTTTACAGAGATTCAGAAAAATATATTTAAATTCCCAGAATTCAAAATTTCAATATTTTCATTTAGCCTTGTAATAATGTTTTATTGCTCTTACTTTCGGCTGAAGTTTAGAACTCGGTACAACCTAAAGAAGTAGTTTAAATTGGCAATTCGCGCTTCTCCGGCGAGGGGGAAATCCACTATGGAGGAAACGAAGGGTGTTATTTTGGTGGGGAGGGATGGTGACCAATATTCATATAACTTAGTACATACTTATAATGAGCAAAGGATGAGCGGTTTCACCGGCGAGTGCCCCTGTGCTTTTGCGAGACAGCTGTCGAAATGGTTAGTTGCGATGCTGTCGTATAGTTACGTTTCTCGTGCCCTTCTGATCCTTTGTCGTTTGTGCTTTTGAGTGTCTAGTATTTGTGCTACGTTGGTAAGAATAAATGTGGGGTTCTTGTACGCGTTGCGCCGAAAGGGGTATTTTCGACGAATGTCATTGAGAAGGTGCCATTTGGAGCAGTGAATATTCTCCGCATCATACGTGTTGCACCGGGTTAAGAATAGATGCCAAAATAAGAATGACTGTCAATGTTTCACGACGAGTTTGAAGGTCAGCTGAGGCGTCTGACTAGGGAAAAATTATAAAATTAATATTTTTTCCCGGAGCTCGGGGTTAATACAAGTCATTGCCAGAAATGAAACAACCATTCCTCTCGTTCCAAATCTCTCCATTGTTCCATCACAAAGGAAACAATTGTACTGTGTGTGTGTTATTGTTGAAGTCCAAGTAGAATTTCATAGATCTTTAAATCACTACATATTTGCCAATTAAATAAATTATAATTCATAAGATTTTTTAGGCATTTTATATATTTGTATAACTTTAATGTTCTGCATAGCCTATAAGAATAAAAGCCTATAAGAATAAATGGTCAAACAATATCATTGTGAAGTAATATTGCTCTGAAGCTTAGAATCTCAAAATTCTCCATTGTTATTGTTCTAGAGGCTTTTGCTGATCTCTATATATACATGGAATCTCTTCACATTTGCGCTGAGATTCCCATCGATAAAGCTGAGAATGTAGTTGTAATTTAGTCCTTGAAAGTTCTAAATCTCTCATGATGCAACCTACCTTGTGTTGTGGCGTTGATCGCGCAAAAAGGGTAAACTACCGTTAGGAAAGGCTAAATGATTGTTCACAGTAATTTTGAAACACGTTTACCTGCGATATTTGTAATTATGCGTCCAGAATTAACTAAAAATCATGTACTTTATGTCCGAAACAGTTTGTTTATTGAGTAGTGTAATGAGAGAATTTATATAAAAGAAGAAAGACAGGAAGATTACATTGATCATGCGATTGGCACAAGTGATTTTGATACGGCAGTGAAGGGACTTCTACTGAGGAACCTTCTCACTACTGCGACTCTTCTTCGCTTGGTAATGAGAAATGCACACCGACTCTTACGTCTTGGAAGGTGGACAGAGAACGAAAACATTCAAGTTATATAATCTTTTCAGCGTGCCAATATTCTAATTTCTACTCGTGTTTCTCTACCTCTACGGAGTTTTTATTTTTGCACTTGATCGGAGATCGAAGGACCGGAAAAGCCAGGCTATGGGTGAAAAACTACAACAAAAGATACTTCAAAATAAACAAGTAGATGTAAGTTAGAACAAAATAAGTTTACTGTGGATTTAAAGTTTTCTTTTTGAAGAAAAAAAATAACAAGACCTAGTGATGTTGTCATCTGACCTAGTACTCACACAACACACAACACTTGTTGGGCATCTTGATTCAGTCAAAGAAGGAAGGTAGTATCTATATGTCTCTTTTGCACGAAATATTCATGAATTGAACTTTATAAACTTGTACATTTAGAGCCTTTTGCATAAAAACAGATCTGCAGTATCGAAGCAATGGCAAGCCTCGCCTTTATGATTTGAATATTATACTGCTTATATTATAAGAATAGAATATTATAAGACTGTTATATGTATGTTGTGTATTACATGTGATTAAATAATAATGATATTACATTCAACTATTTTACTTCTCGATTTTCCTCGAAAATAATGGATTTTTTCCTTTTTATTTTAACTCATTTATAATCTGACAAATAACATTTTCTGGTATGTATTAAAATTACAAATAACGACCTACTAGGAGACATGGTTCTACAACTTATAGCCTACACTGTGAAATATGTTGTTTGTTCACGATTACTTTACCTTTATTCGAATGTCTGGACACTCAAGGAAATTGTAAAAGCATTTACGCATTTTTAACAAAATTAAATTGTAAACCTGTAACAACAAGTTTATGAACATATCTAGAAATTTACGAACACAACTCTCAGTGTGTAAAACAATGGCGTGAAACAAACTTATAGACCAGACAAGTGCTAGTAGTATTAGTAAGTTACTAACATTTGTTGGATAAGTTGCAATACTATAATATTGAATGACCGTTACAAATAATAAGAAAAAGTATGTGATGAGTACCATTGGTTATGGAACGCAGCTTACCAAGTTACCAAGCCAAGCGAACTTTAGACTTCACGTCTTTCAGGATTAGCTTTATTAATAATACCATTGCACATCGTTTTGCAATCTTCTTAATTCTTTAAGTACTGAGACTTTTTCACTGAAAGATGGATAATAAATTCGCCGTAATACAGAATCAATACAGTAATACATCTGTACTTGTGAATCATTGCAACGGAAACGTCGTATTACATCACTGAGGAAATCTTACTTGGTAAATTTCATATAACGGAGTTACACATGTGATATTTACCCCCAAAAAGTCAGACAACATATTATGCACATGTGATCTGCAGCTACATGAAAGGATACTCCCGGATAAGACGGAAAAATGTTGTAAAATCAAATAACATGAGTACACAAACTATGACTCTGACATAAAAATAAAGTTATTGAAAAGTTACATAGCCCACCAACTCTACTACTCTATAGCAAAAAACCGAGTTTTTATTACATTTTCGTCAAATTATCATTACCTTTTCTAAATGAAAAAAAAAAACACGAAAAATAAGAAAATAATTTATACTATCAAAAATATTTTGTTGATGTATTCTCGACGCCAGATTCAAACGCACACGTAAGCTTCCGCGGCTCGAATCCATAAATTCTCGGCTATCCTGGAGACGCCGCGTCGTTGGTTGGGAGGCCGACGTTTGGATGGCCGACGGCTGGATAGCCGAGAATTTAGAGATTCAAACGCATTTTTTCTTTTGAAATAATAATAAAAAAAATACCATGTCTTATAACACTGGAACTGACACGAACAATCTCAAAACCTCTTTAAACACCGATTGTGAATTTTTTCAGACATTTTTTTCGTTTGCTAGACTGTAGTTTAAAAAAAACAACTATTATTACCCTTTTGCTGCCTTCAAAACCACTTTTGTCATTATATAATCTCTGAAAATGACTGCAACAATTCTGTACATTTATTCTAGAGTTCATTATTCTACATATGCATACACTGTCATAGGACTCAAGTTTTTTATCTTGGGATTTTATTAAAAATTATCTT